GACCCCTCCTTGGGTTTCTGAGGCAGTATCACTACAGAAGTAGATTGCCCCATCTTCCTTCCGAGGAGTGGCTGGTGGGTTTGAACCGCCAGCCCTCTGGTTAGCAGTCAAGTGCCTTAGGCACTATGCTACCAAAGCTACTATTTATCAGGTGGTAGTTTGGGAGCTCTGGTAGCGTAGTGCCTAAGGCACTTGACTGCTAACCAAGTTCCAACCCACCAGCCACTCCTCGGAAGGAAGGTTGGGCAGTCTACTTCCGTAGTGATACTGCCTGGGAAACCCAAGGAAGGGTCACTATGAGTTGGGGCTGACCCGAGGGCACATAACAACAACAGTTTTGGACCAGCGTTCTACAGTAGACTTTTCACAAAGACTGCATTATCTCTGGAAGGTAGATATTGTATCTGTTTCATGGGTGAAGATGAGAAGTGTGAACTGATGTGGCCTATGCCACATAATTTAGTAAGTGGGAGGACCTTTTGGATTCTTGCTCTTTTCAAAATACCATGCTCATTCTGTTATGACTTATTCTGGTAAGTAGTAGCATACACTTCATAACCTGTATTTTTCTCTGTAGGATATTCTGAGGAACCAGTAATATATAAGAAACATACTTAAAAGGTGACTTTTTAATTCAGATGTTATACTTGTGTAATGGAAGGACACTTTTTGCTCCCTTCATGCACTTTCTTGTTTTCCAAGTCAAGAAGGTGAATAAGATGACACAAATTGTGGGCACCTTGAAAACATGATACAAAAACAACATCCAGGGCTATTTTAGGAATAAGCCTATAAAAAGAAGCATTTTAGATTTGAAAAACCACTTTTTTTTTTCCTCTTGAGTGCTTTAGGATCCACCTTGAATGGAGACTATTTAGGTAACCGTAAAGGCAGCTGTTGCCTTGTTTTTTCACACAGGACAGTAGAGTACATAGATGAATCTTACTTGTTTGAAATGAAAGAAAAATACATTTCAGATGAACTAGTGTCGTTTATAATTCAGGCTTTGGCATTGGTTTCTAAACTCATTAGTGACAGATTTTTTTTTTTTTTTTAAATTATAAATGATCTTAAGGAAAAAAATCAACCAGCTTCATCTGCCCTGATGAAACACAGGGCATTCCAATGCCTGGTTGGGTAAAGTTTGGCCCTTGCTTTTGTACTTCAGCTAGGTTGACGTGCATCCTATTAAAATAAATGCTGATAAACTTTTAAAATGGCAGCAGTAGTGGCAGGAGTGGTAGAATTCTCACCATCCATGCGGGGGACGCACATTTGGTTCCTGTCCGATGCACCTCCTTTGCAGCCATGACCTGTTTGTTGGCGGAGGCTTGCGTGTTGTGATGCGGCACAAATTTCAGGAGACCTTACCGCCTGAGACAAACTGGGAGGCAAGCCCTGGGGATCTACTTCCGGAAAAAGCAGCCGGTGAGAACCTAATGGCTCACAGTGAGTGGTCCAAACCAATTTTGCGTGGGGTCGTCATGAACCAGAGGCCAATTTACAGCAGCTAGCAATAACAGCAAAACTTTTAAATGCCTCTGAAAATTATAGAGAGATGATTTAAACTAATTACCAAGAACACGGCCATGAGAGTCTGGAGACTGGGATAACAGCTCTGGGTCCACGTGATTAGCCCTTCATTGCACATTATTTAATCTCTGGGTATTAGAATCTTAATCTTAGAATTGGGATGACAACATCCAACCTAGATATCTCACATCTTTATTATGAGAGGAAAATACGACACAGATGAAAACATTTTAAAGTGGCAAGTTAAAAACAAAGAAATAATCATACTGTACACCTGGTTACAATTGTACAGACTATATATATACACCCACACACATATCGATTGGCAAAGACTGGAAGGGAATGTGGAGTGATATAAAGAGTGAAATTCACATTTTTTGGTTTCTTTTTCTGTAAAAATTTCTAAGTCTACACTAAAAATATTGCTAGGTACCATGTAAGTACAGCAATGAATACACCAGGCTCCTTTTCCTGCAGTTTATTCTTTTTTTGTGTGTGTTTTCTAAATTGAGTCTTTCCTGTTTTAGAGATGAAAACAATAAAGAAAATTACCCTGACGCCGGGGCTCTCCTAGAGGAGCACCCGTCGCCCTCCCAGGAGCCCCAGCAGCATGCCGAGCGGACCTTGCCGGTGGACGGCGTGTTGCGACCCAGCATGGGCAACTTCAAGTCCCGGAAGCCCAAGTCCATCTTCAGGGCAGACAACGGGAGGAGCCATGCAGAAAATCAGGTAGTGGGCTCTGCTTTTCAGGCCTTTGCCAAAATGGGCGCTTCTCAGGTGGGAGCACGATCCTGGAAGATGGTCTGAGTGTGTTATTTTGCAGGAGGTGATTAGGTGACTTGTCATTGAGTGCATGAGTGCCAGAGACTTGTGGATGGTCTTATTGATTAATGGTTGGGTTCTCTGGGCAGGCTAATAATTTAACTTCCTTATCAATTGATGGAGTTCCTGGGAAGTGCAAATGGTTAACAGTGGCATTACTAGGGTTACCTCGTGCGATAATTCATGGTGTCATTCCCCCACCCCATGGACCTTCTCACGAACCGTACAGAATCTTTAGTAATGTTTATTATCATCTTTAATCATAGAAACGTGTGATAAATGTGGTTGTAAATAGCTTAAGTGCAGTATTTCTTAGATTTTATGAATACTAACATTGTTTTATAAAATCTTTCTACAATGAATCAAATATTAGTTACAACATTATCAGAAACTGAGTGGAAGCCTTTTTTGACTTTTCGTCTTTTCCTTTAATTACTACTTCCTTCTCAAAAAAGTTATTAATATAGGTTCACAAATATTACTGCAATATTATAGTTAAAACACCAGAAAATGTAATAAAATCAATGACTATAAAAACACTAGCAGCAACAAAAACAACAGTGCATGCTTGTAGCGTGTGCAGATGAACCCAGGTGATTGAAAGCGTTATTGTAATTGTGTAAAAATGACTGCTCAGTTTAGAGCACATTAGAAGGTTCAAAAAGTAAATCAGCACAGAATTTGAGCCTTGTAAGTATATTGATACATGTAAGCTGGGCTGATGGGAAATGTTTTTGTTGTTATAACTAACTACAGGGATTTTTTTGCTGAAATGCTATACAAAAATTCTGTAGAAAATCATTTTGATGTCACCTCCTCTGACAGTGTCACCTGGTGTGGTCCATACTCCCTGTACCCCGGTGATGGCATTGATGGTTAACCTCCTCCACAGCTGAAGGGTTGGAGGTTTCAGTTAATCTGGAGGCACTTAGGAAGAAAGGCCTGGCAATCTGTTTCTGTACAGTCAGCCCCTGAAAATGCTGTGGAGCACAGTTCTCCTCTGACACACAGGGGCTTGCCAGGAGTTGCAGCTGAGTTGCTGGAAGGCAACTGTTTTTTTTTTTTTTTTTTTTAATTAATATTCTTCAATACTGGATTTGACATTGATTTAGAGGAACAATTATGTTCTTTGTGGGCAAGGGTGGAGGGGGAACTCTCCTAACTCTTTGCTTATCCAGGATGACATAGCTCTGGACTCAAATTGGGGATTCTACTCAGTAAAGCAGATTTCCCAGATTTCCCTGCAGTCCTCCTCAGGCTGCAGGCTAGCAGCCTTGAATAAACACTCAAATGTGTATGTCTGTGCTTGTATGTGCTGCGAACCTGGTTCTCTGAGGTCAGTATATATTTAAATGAATAAATGAAGCACCTTTTCAATTAAATTCTGATAATAAATTTACTAGTGTGTGTGTGTGTGTATGTGTGTGTGTGTGTGTATATTTATTTATTTTTTCTACTTGTATAGAGATATAGCAAAGGAAGTAATTTTTTTAATCTTAAGAAGAAAACCCTTAAGTAATTTGTGATGCTTTTAAAAGAGATTATGAGTATAATCTACTTTAATCTTACTAGGGGGTTAACGTTGCCAACCTGAGATTATACTGGTAATGTACCTAACACAGTTTTTGGGGCATAGACGCTCCACAAATGTTAACTTTACTTTTGTGTTAACATTTAAATGTTAACCTTAAAAATAATGTGTGAGTCTTTAAGAATAATAGATAATTACATAATGACTTTAATCAGTGCCATTTAGCAAATGAGCACCAGGCGATCTTCTTTTAGAACAGTCTTGGCTAGGCAATCTATTGGACCTTTTAATTTTAATATGGGCTTTGTGCATTTTATCTCCCTCCTTCCTTGGCCTCATGACCTCTTTATTAGTCATTTAGTTTTGCAGTAAGATGAAAATGCCCTCTGCATTTGTGAAGGTGTGTTGTCATTATCTTAAACTGAGTATAACTTTCCCTGCAGACAGATGAGTGTGAAATGCCATTTGAGTTAGATTAAGCCCGGACCCTGCAGGTTACTGACTGCACCCCAGCCCTTGTGTGATTAGGAGTGTAGTGCAGAGTCCAAAAGGGCTGCCTCAAAGTCTGAGTGGTCCCAGGGAGCAAATCCCAGGGAGCAAATAACCTTGAATCTCCCTGCCAGGGGTCACCTGTGACATTGTGGACTTCAAGGTGACCAATCTCTCCTCTAAATACCCTCTTTTTTGTCATTCTGTAGTCTCACAGAAGTTACACAGTATTCACTTGTAATAAGTTGCTAATGTGGCATGTAATTCCCGAGGAGAAATAAATGCAAATATAGTCTCTGCTGATACATAGCATTGCAATCCTAGGGTGCAGGTAAAATCTCCAGTTTACTCATGACATCTCTATTGTCCATCAACATCATCTGTCTACATTTGCCTAACTAGATTTTTTCCCTTATCAATGACTGAGAGAGCTTTGATAATATTTGGGGTCTTCCATATTTTGGGTAAAATTGAAAAATATTTCACATAATTAATATTAATAAAATCTGCTAGCACTTATTTAAGCATTTACTGTGTTCCAGGCATATGCTGTGTTTAACTGCAATTCCATGAAGCGAGTATTATCTTTTTGTACAGATAGAAAAACTAAAATCAGGCAGAACTTGATTTAGGTTATACCAACAAACAGTATTTGAGAGAACTCAAGAGAAATGTCTGGTATTCTTCATCAAAGCAGTGTTTCTAAAGATCTTGTAACTATGAGCCTAAAGATTTATCTCTCTCCTTTTACTGCTCACATCTTAATTTTTACATAAAACCTGAGATTTCTTTCCCTTTTTTTGCCTTTGATGATAATCTTGTGTTGCTAAGCAAGAATTATTTAATCAGAAAGGACTATGTTGGAAAGGATTTTAAAAATGGTACTTTTTCCCCCTGTCTGCCCTGAGCCTGTGGCATTGGTAATTAAAATCTAGACTAATGCTCGCTGGGTGACTGTTAGGTCTACTAAAATGTAATTTCCTTGAGGTCACTGATTCAGTCTATGTTGTTTTTTGTTTTATTTCCAGCACCCAGTAGTTACTCAGTATTATTTGTTGAGTGACTCAAAACTGTTAAGAAGTATGTGTGTGTGTATAAACAAAAAAACAAACTCACTGCCATCTACTCGGTTCCACTCATAGCAACCCCCCATTGGGTTTCCAAGGCTATAAATCTTTATAGGAACAGACTGCCTCATCTTTCTCCCATGGAGCAGCTGGTAGATTGAACCACCA